ATATATTTTGTATGAATATAAAAAAAAAAGTTTGTAATAATAGCCACACTAAGTCTCGGATTTGGGCAGATATTCAATATTGAAAACATGGTACATTTCGATATATACATAAAATATTTTTTAAATTGTATTTTGTGAATGCATTAAAAAATATCAAAATTTGTTTCGGATCAAATAATGTACCAATATAAGAATGGATAGGTCATTAATATTTTAACAAAATAAGGGGTCGCGGTCCAGAATATGGATGAGAGAGAGGCTGCTTTTATATAGTGCTATTTTTCCAGCAAGGGGTTTTAAGTTCAGGTGGCCTATTTATTCATAAAATATTATCTATAGATGGGATCCTCTTTCTGCACCATTTAATTTAAAAGAGCTTCCATATCCAATATTGTTTCATTAGTTTCATGATTGGACTTTGGGAATCATTGGATCCATATTTTACATAGTATTTTTTTCCATTCTCGTCTCATTTAAATGTTCTTGATTAAGGAATAGTTATCAGATATTTTGAATCTGAAAATACAGTGATTAAAAAATGATTAGAACTGATCTGAATTGTATATAATCTTATTTATAAAATGTCAACTACAGTGAATAATACTGGTACTATATAGTACTTGCTCAAGCTCAATAGGCAATTCTGGGCACTAACTAGTTACTTTTAATCCATATTAACTATGTAACTTAACTAGCTGAATTTAATGTGTAAAATAATCTAATCTAATTCGTTAAAAATAAGGAGGTAACTAGTTATTTTTGTAGTTTTTTTTTATTTATTGAATTTTTTTATTTCTTATTTTTGCATTCTATATTCTAATGACTGATATTTCAAGAAATTAAGGTTATTAACTACCAAATTGAAACATTTGATCAAATTATCGGTTGACAGTTGTTCAATGTAATTTTTCATTCATCACCAATAATCAAGTTAGTTAACTACCTAAATACTTGAGAATTAATTTTGTAATACATTACATTTGAAAAAAACTGTTTTTTAAATTTATATTTTAAATTAAAAAAAAAAAATAACTACAATTACTATTTTCTCCAAACTAACTTCTAACCAAGTGAGATATACTTTATATTAAATTAACTTAACTTTAACTAGTTGAAAATATAGTGACTAACTTGATCAGCTTTACCAATAGGTAGGTATTTATTTTAAAATGTTATCCTTTATTAGATAGTATCTATTAGTTACTAAATAATTAAGTACCTACCTACTATAATAATAATAATAAACTATATAATTATGACTCTATTTCAAAAATATATTTATAACATTGTAAATTTGTGACAGTACCAACAATTAAGCAAATCTTAATAATTGAACAAACATTTCAATACCTACATCATAACATTGATATGATGTTTCTGACTGAATATTTAAATTTTGTTCACCAGTAAAATAAACTAAACAATATATTTTAAACTGTAATTTGTGGAGTACTTACTATTGGTTAAATCTGGTGTTTTATAATTTTTCGAAAATAATTCTACTCCCACTATTATTTATCTGTTCATCCAACATTTTAATGAATTTTAGAGTTGCTTCTTCAATTTTTATTGTATATTCTGTGAAAATGAATATCTACCTAGGCTTTAATACAATTTTCATTCGTTATTTTTGACTGAATAAATTTCAAATATTATTATTAAGGAAGTACTTACTTAAGTATAGATTCAATGTCCACAGTAGTTAGTGTCACAATGATAAATTAATTTTGTAAATCTGCTGTACTTGGCTATAATCACACAGTAGGTATTTAGTAAAACCTATTTTACCATTTTCATGATAAGTGGATTTTTTTGACAAAGGAGTGAATACACAGTGTACAAAATATATTATAACCTATATTTTTGAATCTGAAAAATTAATAACTTGTAAAACATTTTCGATATAATTAATGTAACATACAAATAAATATTAACAAAAACATTTAAAGTTAAACTATAAAATCACCTAATTATGTAGATTATATTAAATATAAATTGATAGGAATCATATTTCAACAGTCTTTTACTGAATTAACAATTTTTTTCTATGGAATATATTAATAATACAAAATATTAGTACAATAATACCTCTTCTATTGGCCGAAATCAGGAAGAGAAAACAAAACATTGAAAAATCATACAAAATTGTTGATTATAATGTCTTGGCTGATAATTAGTTTAATTTAATATTCATGTACCTACTTATAATGTGTTAAATTGTATGTAGAAATTTGAAATCAATTCTTCTTGGTTTTTAAGTGACTAATTATAGTTAGATACTTGGATTTTTATTTTATAATATGACTTATACGCTATAAGGGCATATATTTAAAATTATTCTTGTTTTTTTTTCAGGATCACCCAACCCCATAGAACTGTAGGTGGTCATTATTTTATGCTATTGATTATTTAGTTTGAACCATACTGTAATGTACTACTGCCCTGCACTAACCTACAATATTGCTTTTAAAAGTTTCTGAAGAAATTTATTTTTACATTTAATTTATGATATTAATTAATTAACTAATATATTGCCATATTTATTATTATATACAATTTTGTTAAATATTTTTTATAATAATAAAAAAATTGATGGTAGTTAAATAGTGAATTTTATAAATTTTAATAAATTTTCATATATTGACATCTCCTTTTCCACAAACTTTAGGAAACATACCTGGTTCAGTGAAGAGTGGTTCAGATATTTGTAGCTGTTTTGACAGTTTGGAGTTTGGACTTCATTAGGCATAACTGAAAAAAAAATATTTACATTATATTTAAAAAAAATATGAACTAATTAAATTGTTACCATTAGGACAAGTATTACAATAGTTGATTCCACTTTGATTACTCTTAACCGGAGATTGTAATACTGGCCCTTAAATGTAACATGATCTTACCAGTTTCAATGTATGAAGAATCATCAATGTTATCATCAATCATTGAAAAATCGTTTGAAAAATCAGTATAGTTATTATTTGAGGCTGGAGGCAAGTACAGGACATGATTAATGGTGACTGTTATCTGTTAAAAATTTTACGAGCAACTCTTCTTCCCTCTTACTGAAAACGACATTCCTCTCCCTTTTTTTACTTAATTTGTAACAGAACTCATATTTGTATTTTGTCTTAATGTATTATGAAGCAAATATCAGACGTCAGTGAATAATTAATTACAAAACACAATACACTTGAATACAGAAATAAATTTGAAAAACGAACAGTGATAGTACGAATTAACGTACATTCATATATCTATGCACTCAGCCGCTACAAATAATAATTACAATGACATTATTATCGGAAATAAAAACTGTAGAACACTATCTTAGATAATATAATATATTTATAGGTCTATGGTGTTATCATAGAACACAACTGTCGGTTTACGCGTCACGTAATGTATACAAAATAAATTCAATCAATTTCAGTTTACTTTTACTATTTTAGTTGTTACAATAAATTATCAAATAATATTATGCATTGTAAAATAAAATAATCTTTGAAAGATGAAGGCACTATTCAAAATCCGCCGACTATTTGTATTAAATTATACTTGTAATAAATCAATTTTAACTCGCCCAAATTCAGTGGACAGGGATATAGCCACTGCCAAGACAACCGTCAGTCGTCAAAGCACAACGCCACAACAAAATGACGACTTCTCACCGGTTCCTGAATTTACGTTTTACGTCAATTAAAACTTTCAACTTTCAACTACCTAATACCATGGCTAAATAGACTATTTAGCCATGCCTAATACGTTATACGATATAAATACAACGAGTGGTAATAACCAATCAATAGTGGAAGTGTGGAACGTTATTTGTATACAAATATATTATGTTTACCAACGTTCAAAAATTATATAAAAAAAATGTATTAGAGCCACGAGATGTGTTCAAGTAATCATTAATCAAGTGTTAATAAATGGTGATAAACTGATAAGTGTTAACTGTATATCCACCGGTCCAACAGCCAATAAAATCACATATCAGACAAGCTAGTGTGGCCGAACTCGTATATGGTCCGTAAAATACGATGCTGGGTGTACTTGGAAAGACACGGACTTGAGGACTTGCCATGTTCAGCCTCGACCCGTTTTGTGGCGCAGTGGAAACTTCATACAGCTGACTGTTCGACTGTAATATTATTTGAAAATATTATTTCTACTTAATCGTAATAACTGCAATGTAATAATTGGGTATAAATGGGTTTAATATTATATTATAATATATATTATTAAGTACTTATATTAGAAGAATTTAATAGTTGGGATGTCATTTTTGTAGATATTGATCCGGACAAAATTATGCTGGCCCAGCGCTATGTCACGATTTATGGACGAAATTGTTGGCGACTCTTTCAAACTGGACAATCTGATAAACGGTGACGTTACCGTTACTTCGCGGCCATCATGAGGTGGACCAAAATATAAAATAATGTATGTCATCGGGTTGTCGGCTGTGTGAATGATAAAATCCTGGAAGCTAGTGGAAAGGCAATAGCCCCTAAAATCCTGTTACATCTTAACCTTAATAAAAAACGAGGAATGATTAAAAAATGGCAACGGAATTATTGGCCTACTGATCTGAAAATGTGTTCCTGAACAGGTAACTCCTCAACGTTATATTATGCCCTGTCCAATAATAACTTGCCGTATTTACATCACAAAGATGTGCGACGACTGCTCACCAACGCATCGACATCCATCAAATGCCTTCGGTAAGTTTCCAAACTGTACCGTTCATTCTTCCGGAATGCTAAAGAAAATTAATTGAATAGATAAATATTATAATATAACAATTTTTAAATATAAACGTTTTCAACTTACAGTTATTTAGATGGATGTCGACCGGTTTGGGAGCGACGTCTGTCACGGCATTGTTCTAATGATTTCGAACATAAATAATACATTATTATAATATTGTTATGCACAGGTACGGTCAGGTAAATTAAATTAATTAAGTAGGTAGGTACTATATTAATATAGTCTATTAATTATTTTTTTACTATGCTTTTAGACTTATAACTTACATTATTGGATCGGACATACAGTAACGTCGAGTTGAGGTACCTGTCCATAAACACATTTTCGATCTTCCGTAAGCCGGCAACAACTCCGTTGCACATTTTCCAACACTATAGGCATTTAAAATATAAATTATTGTTGCACATAAATAAAAAACAATTTATATTTAAGCTGAATGATGTACAAACCTCATTTTTATCTAGGTTTTTTGGTAGATGTAACAGTATTTTTGGGGCAATCGTTTTCCCCACTTCCAGAATCTTATCCACACACAAATCTAACGGCCCGATAACATCCATTTTATTATATTCTGGACCGCCCCATGGTGGCGATGTGACTATAACGTCACCCTTAATCTGATTTGGCAGTTTGAAAAAGTCTCCAACAACGAACTCGATTTTTTCGAGTACTCCATAAATCCGGGCATTTTGCTTGGCCATCATAATTTTGTTGGCGTCAATATCTACAGCAATGACTATGACAAACAGAAAATATTACAATTATTAGAAATTGCAGATAACATGTACTTAATATATTATCTTAACATAATATTATAAAACAAAGTCCCTTTTTTTCTCTGAATTCTTAGATCTTTAAAACTACGAAACGGATTTGGATGCGGTTTTTATTAACTGATAGAGTGATTCAATAGGAAGGTTTATATGTATATAACATGCATATATTGTAGAGAAACATTAAACCTTATTTTTTTACGTACGAGCATATCTCGAAAAGAACTTACTTATTTTTATACGGTTTTCACTAATAAATCGGTTGAGTTACGGGAAAGGTTTTAAAAAAGTCAATAAAAGCTATTTCAATAGATTATTACTTGAAAATTGGAGGGTGTATAGAGCTTGATTTTTCGACTCATATAGGCTGTAGATAGGTAAAGGGTAGCGCACACATGATTTTTTTTTAGCATACGAAAAAATAAATTATTTTTTTCAATCTAAATGGTTGCACAATTTGTTACATTTTTTATTAATATTATAATTAGAAGAAATATGGTATAATATACATTTCGATGCACAACTCGGCTAGTTTCCTAAAGTTTTCTCTTTCATACGGTATATTGAAAACTTTAAGTAGGTAGGTATTTACATAAAACAGATAAAACGGAAAAAAACTAATTAATACCAATTAAATAACAAAAACAAATCTAATTTATATTAAACTAATACAAAAAAAAAACAACTGAATACTCTGCAATAGAGAATGAAAAATATTTGAGGGTTTCAAAGAGCAAGTTCAGCTTTATATGATAAGATAGCGTATAAGCTTGGCTTGGCGTCTAAGAAGGAAGTGTCACGATTTCATGTTTGTTGATTCCTTCCATATTAAAAACACACCATTGGAAACAAACATAACTTTCATTATGGAAATTTATGAAATGAAATGAAATGAAATAAATAAATAAATAAATAATACTTAATTTAAATAATTATTAACATTGTTTTTAAAGTAAAATTGAGTATATTATTATTCTGTAAATTAAAATCATAATTTAATAAAGCCACTGCCACATATTATATTGACGAGCAATGAGTACTGCCATATAACATAATATACATTTTCAAAAGATCTGTCTAGAGAAATGACGTTTTATATTTATACTTTTACTGGCATTACTGCCTATGTGTATTTTTTTATGTGGTTTTGCTTATAAACAATATAAACTAACCTTCTAGGTTTTGGCTACTCGCCGTTGGTGTGTTGAACTTGGTGTCTTGAGCTCCTCCCTTGTGAGTATCCTTATCTCCTTCTGGTGCATTTTTCCGTGACGTTTGCGTATTTCCCGTGGTTACCGATAACGACTTGTGGGACGAACCACTCCCACCTGCTGGCTCTGAGGTTTCCGAGGCCTCTGTAGCAGTAACATCAATTTCTTTTTGCTGTGTTTCCATCATGTTTATTGTGTTTTTAGCTTGCCTGCCACTGACGACGCCAGCCTCGCGTCGTCTGTCTTTTTTCCGTCCGTGTTGCCTAATCTTCCTGGACGCCGGGGGTCGATCGTTTCCCCGGCGTTGAGCTTGTCCACGACTGCTTATTCGTCCACCCCAAAGGTATGGCTTATTTCGCGGCTACCCTGTATATCTACAGTACGTTCCGCTATCCGTAACCGGGGGACGCGTCCGATCGCATGCTCAGGCCACGGAGCAAACCATACCCTAGGCCGCTAACAATTGTACCCGGTTTCGGACGCGAAACCCACAGACAATTTTATTCTTTTTTGAACGCAAAACCCGTAACCCGCGCCCAACTTACCCACCTATGCACCCCATACTTCTGCATCCGAGTCGCGGTCGATGACGATTTTTAAGATAAGCACACATAAAAGTTGCGGTCAGGCCGATTGTAGGTAATATAATCTTAGTTGCAGTCATATATTGTATATATGTGGGGGCACTACTATTTATCTGTAAAGCTTATATATAAAATAGATAAAATTGTATAGTCCAACCGTAGTTTTGAATATTGCATTCAGTATGCCTAAGTTTTTCGACGCAGTAAAAATGAGTTTGAACAATAATATGTTGGGTGAAAAATTAAAACCACTACGGATTGTAAAAGGATATAAATTTCGCTACTATCTCGTACATTATAATAATAATAAAATGTTATTTAACAGCATATATTTACAATGGTTAAATAGACAATATAAAGACAAAGTTGCAACTCATCCTATAATCAAATAAGCTTGAATGCGGATGAGTTGAGTTCTATATTAAGGTATAACAAACGTGCATAATATAGATAAAATTAAAAATAAAAGTTAAAAATAAATTATTCCATATTACAAAAACAGTAATCTAAGATAGTACACTATAATAACATGATTTTTATATTGATTAAAATTAGTAAATGAAAAATATTTATATTATATACTCGTAATAATAAGACACCTTTAAGAATAGTGCTTTGATTACCAAAATTAGTTTTATTGTGAGGAATATTTAGGTTGTTATTATTTTTTAGTCTTGTATGGTAATCATTGGATGGTTGATAATTCTTAATTAAGTTTTTAATTTTATACATATACAATAAAGTTTGACGTTCATATGATATCCTAAAGGGTTGAACATTAAGAATTGTAAATATTAAATCTGAATTAAAAAATCTAGTTTTATTTAAAATAACTTTTATTAAAGATTTTATAGTTGTACATAATACATTATATACATAAGTACATAAGTACATAAGTAGATGAGTATGTACATCCCCAGACCAAAGAGCCATATAAATAAATTGATTGTGCTAAAGCTAAGAAAACTACCCTTAAGGTTTTTAGAGCTAATGTAAAAAACATGTAATGCAGCTATAAAATATGATGTTTACGGTGCCATTTGTGAACAGACTACAACACATTATCATGAACCAGATGAACACAAAACAATATTACCTATGGCAAAAGGTTAGTAATAGTGTTAAACGTAAGGCAGTGGAGCAGTTGAGCGAGAGTCCCCCCAAAATTATTCATTCTGAGATGTCGAGTACAGTAATCAGTGTACTGGACTCAAATGACGTCACACTGATTAGAAAAAATATATACACTCAGGGGCGGAGTGGGAACCAAATCCAGGCCGGGAGTTTAAAATTTATCCAGGCCACCCACCAAATTTTTTGTTTCTCGCTACGCTCGAATTTGGTTTTTATATTTGCCTATTCCAAAATTACTTTCAGTATTAGAAAAGTATTTCAATCACTATCTTGCTATTTCTTTTAACTTCTGTCTTCTAACACATTGTATTAATATACCACTAAGTACTAATACCTGAAAGTTCGAAAACATTATCACAATCTATAGAGATTTTAGATTCTAAATTATTACTGTTTGATGTTTGATCTGAAAAAAGTTAAATTAAATTAATACTATTACATTTTATTCAAAATATTGAAATATAAGAGCAAGATAAATTATCAATGAGGAAATGCACTAGGCAAATTAATTACATTTATTACAAATGTGTTGGAAATTCTTATATATTTTCTTAATTTTATTTATGAACAATTTAAATAATAATAAGTTGTTCAATTTTTTTTAAAATTAAAAATAATCCCAACATAAGTCATAACTAGTAAACTAGAACATTTAACTAAATAGTAAATAAAATACTTTTAAGGTACACAAAATTATTTAAAAGGAAAAACGTGGATACACCATAAATTACACCGTCGACACACTCAACACCAGTGACCAGGGGACAAATATCAAACACTAATGACTAATTTGTTTGGGTTTATTACAGATATTCTTTATAAAAATAACAATGACCAAAGTAAAGTGACCAATAATACAAAATTAATATGTATTAATGTATTATCATTGATTGTTATAAAATATACAAAATACTAGTATTAGACATTATTAGTACTTATAATCAATGGTATTATTAGTTATTATTAGCCATTTGGCATTGCTATATTCGTCGCCACTCAACAGCCCTACAGCCTACAGAGTACAAATAAACAACTTGCAGGTTTCAACATGCGGAAATGCGTCGAATCAATAATTTATAATTTCTTAGTAGGTAATTAGTTCTGTTGGATTGAACCGAGACCACACACTATCTGGGTGTTTTTTTATAAAAATAATCGACCCATATAAATATTATATTGCTTTGATTTTATTTGATATCTATATTTATGTACCAAATATTTTGTAATTTTTTATCCAAAGATTTCTCATAAGAGTATACGATTGTACGAGGCTAGTAAGTTGTACTTACTATTATTTCATTAATAATATTTGTAATACAATAATTTAATAGAAAAAATTTTTTGATGCATTTAGCATTAACTAATATTTTGTAAATTAATTTAAATTAAAAAAAAAATCTAACAAAATGCCTAGGCCACCAGGCCATAGTATGGTCCAGGCCATCTGGAAAATTCCCATTTCCAGACCGGCCACTCCGCCCCTGTATACACTGCACGAATGAATGTTATTTATAATTTATATTATTTATTATTATTAATAACGTGACATTTCAGAATTAAAATGCGAACCAAAAATAATAAAAATTGGATTTTTATAAACGATGTTCAGAACAATATAATATGTCTTACGACTCAGATGGAACCTTTATTTTTTCAAACAATGTGATTCAATTTTTATGGACGAATGCCGTGAAAGTTAAAACCTATATTCAATGAAACATTGGATATTTATTTAATTTTATCATACTTTAAATCAGGGCTTGAAACCGCTCCTGAAGAAATCATAGACCTATAAACTAATAGGTCTATGGAAGAAATAGGTTACCGGGTCCGATAGGACCCTGAAAATTTTTTGGAACCGGTTACCGGTTATCGAGGTTTTTAGAAATAATGATAATCATTTCCCGCTTACCGAAATAAATTGTATAAATGTGATGACTGGTTATCTATTTGGAAGCGGTTTTAAATCTTCAAAATTACCGGTTACCTCACAAAACCGTTTTTTTTTTTTTTGTTTTGTTTTAATACCTACTCTATTTTTTTTCATCAAACTTTAACATGTCATTTTTGAAACTATTCATGCATTTTGTTGTGGTATGACTCGAGATAAGAAGAGGCGTAAAAAAAAGATTAAAAACAACAACTACATAAAAGTAGTATAGGTATCTATATCTATTGTTCTTCTTTAAGATACATAAAAACTTAAAAATATAAAAAAAAAATTAAAATACAAAACATTTTATCAAGTAAACAAGTTCAAACTTAGTACTTGAAAAACTCCAAACAATAAACAAAAAAAATAGTCTGTGTACCTAGTCTATACTCTATAGTGTATCACTGTATAGTTTTATTGTTAAGTATAAACTATTAAGTAGGAACTAACAACCACGGTCCACGATGGAAACAACACTAAAATAAAATTGATTTTATTTTATCATAGATGGTGACAATATTTGGTTATTAACATTTGACTATTATAGTATTATCAGTTAGTAGTTAGTACGTATTATTTGGTATGGAATATAGCTGACGGGCGAGTAGGCACGGTAATATCACTAATAAGTAATAGATGATTACACAGTTTTGTTCAGTATTACTATTATTACGCACTAATGTAACGAACTCATTATTAAATAATGAATATCAAAACAGTCCTTGATTATAAGTTATAACGTACCTATTACCAAGTACTTGGTACAATATCGTTTTTTACTTTTTATTTTTTTATTATATATTTTATCTTATTTAAAAAAACTGTTGATTTCGGTAAAATTTCCGAAAGACGACGTGTATTACAGCCTGGTAGCTGTATTGCTGTAATTTAATTTTGTCCAGAATTTCTAATTTTTGAGCAAACGATAAATCTTTACGTACACGAGCCATCGTTGCTACACGCGACAAACACGACTGCAGCATTGCACCAAATAACATTTAACAACTATCACATTTGAACATACGATAAAAGATAAGATAAAATAAAGTTAAATAAGATAAAATGTAATGTAATAATCGATTACGAGAGTCCGTCAAGATTGTTGAACTATTGATCTATTAATATACTCGATAAAAATGTCCCAATTATCCGGATTCGTGGCCCAAATAAGCGGTGAATGTTTACCCTACAAGTATACATTTGTTTTTGTAATTGAAGAATTGTCCCTATTAAGCGGTTGTCCTTATTAACCGGTGTCTCTATTAAGCGGAATCGACTGTATTATTTTCTTCTATTTAGAATATTCATTATAATTAAAAAAAAATTATTTTTACGTTAATTGGTTTGAGATTTACGGTTTTGTATACTTCCGATTAATTAATCGGTTCTAAAAATAAACGGTTACCGTTATAGATTTCCCCCTTAACTAGATTGTACGATGAAATGAAAATCAGTAGATACTTGTTCGTTTATCACGGTGTTCGCATATCACGTTATTCGTTATTACCTATTTATTAACCTAGTATTTTATGCCAGTATTTTTAAAAATCAAGTTTTATTTCACATTAGTTTAAAAATGTCCAAAACATGCAATAGCTGTGTCCTCCGTCCATCATATTAATCAATATATAGGTACCTATAGGCTAACCTACCTATATTAAAATTTGTATATCCATGATTAAATTATTTTTATCATGTTTATATACCTACTTATTTTTTAGTTTTTTATAACAAAAATTGTATTATGTTTTATGAATTTTTCAAAAATAATATAAAAATTTAGCTGTATATATTTAAGCATATTTTGAAAACGTTGACTGCATATTTCAATGATTTTTAGTGCAACAAGTCAAGTCCCGAACCCTAAATTTATTTATATACGAAATAAACAGTAAAAACTTGGTTTTAATCTATACTTAAACACCCCCCATTTCAATTCTGGCTACGCCACTGGGGCCGTAGCAGTTGCACAAACATTTAAGGGTGTTTTAATTATTGTCGTATATGTATTTTTCAATCCATATACATCTACCTTTGATTAAGTAACAAAAAGACCTTGAATTAAATCTGATTAAATCTGTACCTATTATAATATGATTCAGTATTAAATAAAAAAATATATAATATATTATAATATACTTATTTTTTGTTCAAATAGTACCTACTTACCGTATTTTATAATTTTATGAAAGAGTTTCAAAAATACAAGATGGTTCAGTAAGGCAATTAAAATAATTGTAAATAAAAATCGGGGGGACCCAAACACATTTTGTGAATGATAGATCATTATTTCACTTAATGTTTTTGGAAAATTACTAGGGCTATTGGCTATTATAGGTATATTTTGTTTTGTGAAAGTCATTATTCACTGGTAACACATAGGTAGGTAAATATATTTATTATTTACCACAAGTCCATATTTACACTTATGAGTTTGTAAATTTAAGTATTAGTAACAGTTGAAATTCACTAACTTTTAACTATTGTACATTTAACTATTAATCTGTAAGTTGTAACTAATATGAAATAATTACAAGTAAATTTCAAATGTGACCTACTGATAATTGTATACGCATCAAACGCGGTAGAAAGGGCGTTCAGAGACATGCAAGTATGAAACGAATAACGACTTTAGAACAATCTAACGTACAGGGATCATAATATCGTGGTAGGTACTGATAAACGGTTTTTATTTGATTTTCAGCATCATTTTGAATTGTGCAAAATGCGTAGCATAGCGTTGGAGCACCATATTTCTGACTCAATTTATTCGATCCAGACAATCCAGACATCCGTCAAAGAGCAGCTATCCGACGTGCAAACGAAATTAAACCGTTGGAACGAGACCGTTGAAGGCTTGCTGCGAACTGCAGAGACTATTACGACTGTCGGAAGTAATATTATACAATACATCGACCTGACTATAACCTATAACCTAAACACATGACGTGGACCCGGGAACCGGCATTTGAATTCAAACGTCGCATTCCCGCCGCGCCAGCTTTTACCAACCACCAGGTCACGGTAGGACGACACCGTCTAGCGAATTTCTGAATTTCTGATATTTCGAATTCAGATAGAAATTCGCTAGACTAAACCGGTTTAAAATTATCCCACATTATCCCGCTCCGGGATAATGAACCATGTAAATGATATGGTCCAAACATCCCGGTACATTATTTTTCACACCGGTTTAGTCTAGCGAATTTCTATCAGCGCACCAGCCGACAACGGCATTGGAACGCTGGAACCATAGACCTATAAACTTTATAGGTCTATGGCTGGAACGGTGCAAAGGGCAACCGGCTCCGCGCGGGCTCTCTATCTTTTACCAGTCACGGCAACGCGAACACTATAGACTGTACGCGACCCGTTAGACCACCGCAAGCTAGCGACATATTGTTTCTTTTTCCGATTGTAATAATAATCGCTCGTTACCTGTGAAAACCACTTCGCAACCGATTAAATTCTAAACACAGAGGCTTGTTTTTTTTATTTAATTGTGTTGTGTCACCTTTCCTCAACCAGCATCACCGGGCTAGGCGCACATCGCCCCCAACCCGTCAAGACAATTATTGATAACAATAACAACAGCGTAGGCACAACAATCAGTAATATAATCATTATTTTCAGCACAAACAGAACACCCCGCAACCCCGATGTCGAACAGTTAACAACCAGCACATACGGCGTCGGGGCTGACAAAGGGGCAAAAGAGGAACAAGGCGAGGATGAGGAGGGACTCGAGGGAGTTCTTGGCGACATAGGCGTGCGCAGAGTCTCCAGCAAATATTTTAACCGGAAAAATAGCAAAATTATATTTTTAAAATATTATTAAAACACTTTATAAATTATTTAAATGTTTTTAATATATTTGTTCATAGTTGTCAAAAAGTTTTAAGATATTATCACAATATTATTAGATCATCATTTGTCCAACGATGAAATATTATAAATATATCTAACAACAATATTTACATAATATGTTGGTGATGTTATTTTGAAAATATGTCACATACAATATTTATGAAATATGTTGCCAATAATATTTTGAAAATGATTGGCACGCAATGCTTTTGAAATATATTGGTGATATTATTTTAAAAATATTTCTTATACAATAATTGTGAAATATATTTCTAATAATATTTTGAAAGTGATTTGCACACAATGTTTACTAGATATATTGGTGATATTCTTTTGAAAATATTTCGTAGAAAATATTCATGAAATATATAGGTTACATCAGTTTGAAAACAATATAATATTAAACAAATAAAATATTATGGGGGATAGTATAATTATGAAAATAATTATGTTTTATTTATGATAACCGGTTTTAGTTTTGTTATCAAAGGTAGATAGAAATGCGAAATATAGTACCTTTGTCCTCAACGATCATAAATTAATCAATTTCAGATCCGACTCAAACGTACAAGGTGACACCAAATATAAGCAACGACGTAAAAACTTAAAACCATTTATTTAAACTACTTAAACTTCCACACATAGAAAAAACTGTTTTCTTTTCTCCCTCTGTGTTTATAGTAAAATAAATTGCCTCCCCGGTTGAACCTCTCCGTTTTTAAATTAGTAAAATACGAGAAAATCTAATAGGTATTCAATGTTTTTTTTTTTTTTTTTTATAGGGATTGAAAGATGCTACTATGTCTGGTTATCCGCAACCCGGATACATTCCATCTGGCGGAAATATAAATCAAATTCAACCTAGTTATGGTCAGCCTCAAGGTACATTTAAGCTCAAGAGGGTCTGGTTATCAGCAACCCGGATACATTCCATCTGGTGGAAATATAAATCAAATTCAACCCCAAGGTGCATTAGGCTCCGGAAGGTCTGGTTATCAGCAACCTGGATATGCTTCTTCGGGTGGAACTTTAAATCAAATTCAACCTATTTATGGCCAGAATCAAGGTACATTAGGCAAATAATATACTAACATAATAATTAATATAGTATTAATCAATTATAAATAAATAATAAACTAATATGCCTACATTACCTACACCTTGAAAATTATACTTCAAACCATCATACCAATGTATCATTCCTCCAAGTTAGTATGTACAAAACCTAATTAGAAGCTATTATTTCAACAGTTTAAATGTTTTCCAAAATAATTGAAAATATTATCTGGCTCGGCAATACCCGTCAGTACCCTTACCCGCCCCCTCAAATACATACCTCTATGATCCTATACCGTAAGTGGTTTATATTATGTATATTATATATTAACCTCACCACAAGCCTACTATGATGTCTAGTCCCCCTAATCATTGTAACCTATTCACACGCCTGCTATCAATAAGTACGTACACAATCATGTACATCACACCATTTCATACATGTCACACCGGTTATAACACGATTCCGCAATTTTTTAATATTTTTCAACTACTATTATAACAATGTATTAGGAGCTTTGTATTACATTTACAAACTTTTTTATCCAACAAATAAAATTTAATTGACATTTTAAAAAAAAAAAAAAAAAAACTAAACAAAATGCTGAAAATGTCCATAAAGATCTCAAATTAAGTCACAATATTTTGTAAATTTTATCGTGTAAAGAAAAAGCTAATATAAACAACCAGTGAAAATATTGCATGTATCTATGGTCATTGGTTTTAGAGTTACACCAAAAACCAAAATTGATTTTTTCTAAAACCGATTTTGCGTAAAAATTCCTGTTTTCCCCTAATTTTTAGTTTGTTTTTTCTGTAGCTTTTGAAAACTATTGGGAATTTTAAAGAATGAGCTCTTAAAGCATCAACTAGATTCACTTATACCCATCGAACAAGGTACTGAAGTTGAAAATCGAAGCATTATTTCGACTACTTATCGTGTACACAGACACAAAAAAAAAAAGTATGTGTGTTACCAGTACGCGCGCGGAAGTTAAACTTCTTTTGAATGGTACACGTGAGTGAGTGAAAAAGAAAGAAAAAAATATTAATTAATTTAAAAAATGAGAAGAAGTATCCGGAATTATTTATTATTGATAGTTTTATTATTGTTTTTATATTTTTATTCGACAGATCGATGGATAATTGTTTGTAGTATTGTTTTTATCCAGACAATAGATTTGTGAGTGAATAATAATAATAATAATAAAAATAAATAATAATCGATCATATTAATTAGTATGGGCCAAGATAGATGAATCTGTTTTTTATTTTGCAACGTTTATATAATATTAACGACCATATGAACGAGTAACGACCTACTTATTACATTATTATCATCGTCGTCGAAACCTCAACGGCTGTCACTACAGATATAAAATATATATCTGTCACCGACCAACATTATATATTTTTTAATACGTAATATTATTATTATGTCATATTGAAGTGGCCCGATTATAATATATATATATATATTATAATATATAATATAACAACACTACCATGACAATATTTATTTATTTACGGACATGTACGCTTTCGCGTTCGTACGGCCGCCCGTTCGTACGCGCCGCCCGTTCGCTTTTTTTTTCCTCACTACCCTGCGTAAAGAAGTATAACTTCAAAAATTTTAAAAAAATTAAAAAACACATCATTGTAAAGCTCAAAACGAAACAAAATGTTTTGAAAATTTTCCTCAAGTATAGGAGTTTATAAAATAAACATATGATATAAATTTCAAGTATCTTCAGTTATTCGTTTTTGAATTACAACAAAATAAGAAAATCTCTACATGAGAAATCGAGTGAATATCCAATGTTGTAAAAATATGAACTTCAAACGCTCATAAAAATTTAATAAGACTTTCTTAAAGATATTTTTTTTTTTGATAGACTTAGGCAAACTTATGAGAAATCATGTGTTACATTTTCAAATCTTAGATTTAAAAAGAAAATTTTTTATGAATTTCTAACTCAAAATAATTTGCACATTTTCGTGATTTTTCGTATTTAAGTATTTTGTCAATATTTTAACTTTAAATGCTTATAAAAAAAATTTGTGACTACGGATTTTTAATATTTTTCATGCATAATTTTCAAGTTTTTTTACCCTTCAAATAAAGTTTTATAGAAATCTAAAGAAAAAAAACCTAAAAAAAATTGGAAAATGAAAATGTCCGTCTAGATAAATAAAAATATTTTAAAAATGTTATGGTGTATAAAAAATGCGTATATAAGCATTCAGTCAACATTTCATCTATCTACGGTAATTTATTTTAGAGTTAGACCAAAAACCAAAATCGATTTCGTCGAAAATTGGTTTTCCGTAAAAATTCCCGTTTTAATATGTGCGTCCTAATATGTTAATAATATTATTGCTCAAACAATCTTATTTAACTGGCTAATAACAAATATTAGAACATGGCAACCTGAATTATTATTATATAATTAAATAGCAATTCAATTTAAGTCGTTAAAATATAATATAAATGGACCTAAACAAATCCTATTTTATTACAGTAAGTTTCATTAATTCAATGATCATTTCGAGTGAAAATAATAATAATTAATTACTATTCTTAAATTATAGATTGAAGAAGAAGATATTGAAAATAAGGAAAAGAAAAATATTATGTATTCAAAATGTATAATTGTAGTGTTGGTAATAATTGTACTCGGATTATTATCAACGATTATAATGTTGTTAAATAATGAAAATAATAGTAATTCGCAAATGATTCTGGTAAGTCACAACTGAAAATGTATTTCGTACGTCTGTAAGACAAACTTCCAGGCCCGTGGTAGCAGTTGCACAAACATTTAAGGGTGTTTTAATTATTGTCATATATGTACTTTTCAATCCATAACATCTACCTTTGATTAAGTAACAAAAAGACCTTGAACTAACCGGTTATAGTTTTGTTATCAAAGGTAGATAGAATTGCGAAATAAGTCACATAGCAAAAACTGTTTTCTTTTCTCCCTCTGTATTTATAGTAAAATAAATTACCTCCCCGCTTTTAAATTAGTAAAATACGAGAAAATCTAATATTCAATGTTTTTTTTTTTTATGAGGATGGAAAGACGAAGGCGGCGGACTCATGACCAATGTTTGGAAAACTATGAAAACATTTATTTCGCCTAGCACCCCAGAAATGAAAAATAACATAACAAATGCTACGAACTCAATGATTAATGATAGGAATAACATAACAATTAATAATAACATAACAAAAAATTATTATTATAATTATTACAACTGTACTAATCACACCCTGTAAATTCTATGCCGTATTCCTATATGAGGTGTATCTCTTCGGCCTATCATTTACGGTGTGATTACAGTTGTAATAAATTATAATTATTAATTATTTTTGTTATGTTATTTGTTATGTTGTAATTATGACTATGGATAATCATAGCTAGTCTTAGTAGCATTTGTTATGTTTGTTTATGTCTGGTGAAATAAATGTTTGTATAGCTTTCCAAACATACGTCATGAGTCAGTGGCGTGGCGTGGGTATTAAAAGGATGTAAGCAGTGAAAATTTTGTTTCAAAAGTGATTAGAATATAGGTACTATACTTAAATACCTAATTATAAATTATGTATAAAAAATGTTATCCTTTTAACATTTTTAATATTTTTAAAAATATACTAGTTGTACAAATCAAATTCGAGAAAATAAATAAATTGAAAGTCTATTAAAGTCTATTAAAGTCTAAAAAGTCTATTAGGCGAATGACAGTGACAGTGTAGTGTGTACGTAAAAACGACTACAGTCTACAACGCGTCGGGCTACGTACTGCCGTACTGGTCCGTGGTCGCTCCTTGTTTCTCGCGTAAGCAAAATCAAATGTGCTTACAAACGCTAGTTAAATACGTGACCCCCACTATGGCATTATAGACTATTCGAAAACAACAGTTGCGCGTAAGCAATTTCAGAATGTGTTACACTGTATATCGTATTATGATTATGCAGTTAACATAATACAGAATGGATTAAAAATAGACCTACAATCGATGATTTTCTTAAAATAGTTGGTAATCAGTAGACAGCGTACGACACATATAAACAATAACAAAAACCACTACCAGCTATAACTTAAATATTTTATAAATAAAATTAAAATTTTAAAAATCATTTATTATGTACCTATTAGTCGTGATTGATTAAATTAATTTTTTCTTTCATTTAAAGTGTAAGCAGTGCTTACAGTGCTTACATGCACGCTACGCCCCTGTCATGAGTCCTCCTTCAATATGTGTATCGTTTGTTTCGTTGATGATGATGACGCGACGCTTAACTACCTATTCCGCTTCCGAGTACACAACCACGTGACGATGTGTTAATAAATTAAATAAATAAATAAATTTATGTATATATGTTTAATTCGATGTATAATAATGTTTAATTCGATGTATAATAATGTTTAATAATTAAATATATATTTTTCACTTGTGTATATATATTATCTTATTTTAATAATTATCATAGCAGAGACTGTTAGTGCTTCAACAGTCATTAAAGTATAATTAAAAGACCTGACATGGACTATGTATGGATAGGAGGGGAGGGTCAAGGCCGGGCACAGCCGGGCAGCATATAAGCATTCTGGGGTCTGTTTCGGCACCTGTGTTCAAATACGCATTCTTATTGGTCGATTTTAAATTCCCGCCAAGTTTAATATCGCGTTTAAAATGATAAGATAAATTATAATATATTACCAGAATTAGACAGGCACCAGCTATAAGAAAGTTGTAAGTACAATATCAAACATTAAAATTCAAAGCTGGGCACTAACTTTTTGGAATGCTACTTTTTAGTTAACTATTTATCTTTACTAGTTAGTTTAAATTCATCAAGTTTTCTAATTAAATTACTAACATAACATAATATAATATTATATTATTATATGATATTTAAATTTCAGGTTTTGATCAAAAATAATAAGTAAATATTTTAATTTAATAACTTTTTCAAATTAAAAACAGTTAGAAATATATAAATTAATCAAGCATCTGAAATTATGTACTGTGATATTTTTTAATCGAATTTTCTACTAATTTATACTAAAAAACATATATACACATTTTTTAATATTCATTTCTAGAAAATGTTCATGCAATCAAGCTTTTATATTATTAATAGGTACGTACTACATTGATTCACTAAGTAATACAATATTCATCAATATCTTTTATGTTCAATTGAAACTATAATGTATCGTCAACCAAACAAATAATATCTCCTGAAATATTAGGATTAATAAGACAATATTTTGTGTGGATAAGAAATAACAAGACGACTGTTCCTCGAGTTTCACAGGTTTACATTTCTTCATTTTTAACTACTTCCAATCTATTCGAAAAATAATATGAAATAAAAACATCTAGAGCAATAGGTACCAACAATACCACAATATTTTAATTTTCTTAATGAAAAGTATTTTTTAAATCTGAATACAATCAAAATTACATATTATTAAATTACCATATTATTGTTACTGTTAATACCTACTAGAATGATGTAACGGAACAAACATACACCACTAAAACGGCCATTCTCATGGCCAACATATATTATCATATGACAAATATATGAATTCTGCCGATGGAAAATGACATCGTTTCAACCAAGCGACCATCGGAACGAGAACAGTTGGGATTGCCTAACCAAAGGGCCGGCAGCCAATCAGAAACCGGAATACATCGGTGAACAGGTATATATACCGGTGCGTTCCCCAATGTACTTAACTTCTTTCAAAACCTTCAGACCTTCAACAATTCTACCAAGAACAAACCCGAAGGACCTGAAGCAGCACCAGCCAACGACGATCCGAGACCTGACCGTCGTGGAGACGAGCTACCAAACGCTCTCGCAGCCCCGACGACCACGAGCCACGACGATCCGTAAAGCGACCATTGCGGAAACGAGCTACCAAGAGTTCCGGCATTACCATCGACGATCCACGGACCACGGACAGCCTGCGGCGGATACGAGACATCAAGTTTTTTCACAACGTCGACCGCTAGACTGTCGAACACGCCGTGACACAGCCACGAGGCCATAGCGGCATCACCCCGTCGGCACTGACGAGCAGCACCTCCGCCGAACTTACCCTGGCCGACGCTAATACCGTCGGGTAACCGCGGGAACCAATAAAATCGTCCTTTTCAGGACGACCACCCAAATTCGACCCCTCAAGCGCGCCTGTTACGGCCACGCTACCCGAACGAAGTTCATAAACCGAACGCCACTTTTACAAGCGGGCCCGGTATATTAACTTCATTCCTTCCACTTGACTTGTAATTATATCAGAAACTATTCACACTATTGTACGGGAAACCGACGGCCGGGTGGCCCTCGAACCCTCCCCTTTAAAATTGTAAATAATTAATCATTCCATGGAAATAAACAACAATCTGTTATACTAAAATCCGAAGAAGTTTTTCATTATTGCACAACGGTGCCACGTGAAATACGTGCACCGCTTCAACTGGCGCCCAACTAGTGGCTTGAACCACGAACGCAACATTTACAATGCCGAGAACAAGCAAAAGGAATACTCAGGCGAGTCCAATACGGGAAACCACCAACAACAAGGTCGGTCGATTAGAAAACACGGTTCTTCGATTAGAAGAAATAATCGAGCAAATGCAAACAGTAATAGAACATAAGAATAATAAATACGAAGAAGCAATTAATGGTTTGAAAAGAACTTTGGAAGCCACAAATAAAGAAGTTATGTCTTTAAGACAATTGATAAACGATACAGACACTAAAATTGCTATCGAGACAGCTAGGCGAGAAAGGGAGATTCAAAACATAAGAAACACAAAACCAGAAGAGCCAACAGTAAGACCTAGTACTATTGAAATGACAATGCCAACGTTCAGCGGGGAACAAAAAGATGAACACCCGAAAAGCTTTCTCAAAGACCTAAACTCATATTTCACACATAAAAATATCACACCCACAGATAAGATCATAGTAATAGAAAATTGTCTAAAAGGTAAAGCGGCCAAGTGGTTTGGGATGATTAAAGATACGACACCCACGGCAGAAGCATTTAAAACGCTGTTCCTAAAGCACTTCTTTTCCGACGACAAGCAGTGGGATATATTTATACGGTGTACCGAGGCAGGAAAACGCCCAATAAAAAATGGATTCCAAGAACACTTCCATCACTGGATGGCCGAGTTAAGATATTTGGACTCACCGAAAATGGATGAGGAACAGGCTATTAGTCTAATAATTAAGCACTTCCCTATAGCCGTACAGGCATATATACAGTCGACACAGGAAAAGAAATTTTTAAACATATGGGAGAAGTTAGGAGAGTTGGAAAACAATAACAAGGAAAGGGTAGATGGCGATGAACAAGTTAATAATACGCATAGTGAACAAATAGTGACAAAACATGACCAACCAAAAAAATTTAATAGTCGGTACGGTCAAACGCATACCCCGAAACAACCACATACTTTTGACAACCGATACGGTCAAACCACGCAACGACCACAGGAGTTCTCTAGTCGGTACGGCCAGAAACCAACTACACAGCAAGTAAACCAATCATCTCCCAATATACGCAATAAGTTTAACTATCCACAACAAAGGCCACAGGATACTGGGTCAGGGCATTATCACGACACACAAAAAACAATTAGTCAAGTTACGGTAGACAACACGATTATAGAGGACGAACATGACAGTGAAGATGAGGACGAATACGACGAGGAGTCAAAAAACGGAAAGACGGGGATTATGGCCAGCGACCTGCTATAATCACACAAACCCGAGGTCTAAAAAATATAACAATTTTAACAGCAGCTGAGCTCACTAATGAAGAAAACTATGACACGAACAGGATAAAGGATACGACCAAGGGATGCCCATATATATATGTATCAATAAATGGGACAAACTACGAAATGTTGATCGACTCAGGAGCAGAAGTAAGCGCGATATCAGAAGAGTGCAAAGAGCGTCTATTAAACGACGACCCGGAGTTACCAACAATACCACTGAAAGGACTGGCAGTACATAATGCGGTGGGAGATAAATCGACAAAAGTTGATACGCAGGTGCTGTTACCAATCAAAATACAAAATAACATAATCCACACATCAGTAATTGTTATCAAAGGCCTAAATGAGTGTGGAATATTGGGTAGTGATTTTTTGGAAATCTACGGCGCGAACATAAACTTTGTCCAACGGAACATGTCTTTAACAATAAACAACACACAGCATTATATACCTTTGATTGAAAAGAAACTATCCCAGCCAATAGAATTTAAGGTAGTCACAACAAAAATAATACGACAAATTACAATGACTACAACGCAGGAGGGCGTAGAGAGGTCATCTAGTAAACTTACGAGTAAAATAGACAAATTAGTTAACGAGTTCCCGGAAGTATTCCGAGACATACCAGGAAAAATAAAGGGTTATGAATGTAATATACGCCTGAAAAGTAACATACCAGTAAACCAACACCCATACCCAATACCGGCAGCAAAAAAGGAGGCAGTAGAAAAAGAAATAAGACGAATGATAGAATTGGATATCATTGAACCATCAAGATCACCATATTCATTACCGATAGTACCGGTATTTAAAAAAAATGGTGAGGTACGGTTGTGTTTAGACGCCAGGAAAATTAACGAGATCATTATTCCTGACAGGGAACGACCAATGACCATTGATGCAATATTCTCAAAATTCGAAAATATAAAATGTATTAGTACCCTAGATTTGCGATCTGGTTATTGGCAAGTGCCAATTGCCAAACAGAACAGGGATCCGTGTTCATTTTTGGTAAATGGTAGAAATTACTCATATAAGAGGCTACCGTTTGGATTAAATATAAGTGGATCCGAGTTCCAGAAGAGTATGGACATGGTATTGGGTCCGTTATTAAATACATGTGTTACAGTATACATAGACGACATCTTAATAACATCAGAAAACGAGGATGCACATTATGAAGACATCAGAAGTGTACTACAAAGATTACAAGAATACAACGTCACGGTGAATAAGGAAAAATGCCAATTTTTCAGGGAAGAAGTAATTTTCTTGGGTCACGTGATCTCAACCAAAGGAATTAAGATGGACCCAGAAAAGATTAGGACAATACAAACGTTCAAGGCACCAACGAAGAGGAAAGAAGTTCAGAGCTATTTAGGATTCATAAATTTTTATAGGAGATATATAAAGAACTTTGCGGACTTAATTAAACCATTGATCGACTTGACTAAAGAGGGAAAAAAATGGACGTGGGACAAAACGCAACAGGAGGCATTTGATAAATCAAAAAAGGCATTTTTGAAAGAGGTCATTGTGGCATTCCCAGATTTTACCAAACCAATGTATTTAAATACAGATGCATCAAATGTGGCAATTGGCGGCGAATTATACCAGGTATTGGAACACAATGAAAGGGCGACATTAGGCTACGCGAGCCGGACACTAAAGCCACCTGAAACTAGATACACGACAACAGAAATAGAGGCATTGGCACTGGTATACTGTTGTGACAAGTTCAGGCAATACATCATGGGAAACAAGACGATAGTGCAAACAGATCATCAGGCACTTATTTTCTTGAAACAATGCAGGTTGACAAGTGGGAGATTGACGAGGTGGATACTGGCATTACAAGAATACAATTTAGAAATAACTTATATACCGGGAAAACAGAATATAGTTGCAGACACTTTGACACGGTACCCGAGAACTACAGACGATAGGAAAGAAAAAAGAATAGTATTGTACAAAATCGATACATCAAAGTACAGCAAGGAGTTGACAAGGTCACTAGAACGGTTAGGGGAGTTACAAAAAATGGACAAACACATTATCAAACAGTGGAAAAAACAATCACCAAATACGAAAATAGAAAAAGGAGTATTATTCGTAAAAAACAAAGACGAGTGGCAGGCAGCCATACCAGATCAACTTGCAAAAATGCTAACAAGGGAAACACACATATTATTCGGTCATCCGGGCCGATATAAGACATTTCATTTATTGAGAGAAGTATGTATTTTCAGAAATATGCAGAAGACAGTTATAAATATGATAAGGACATGTGACTTGTGTCAAAGAAACAAACCGTTAAACTACAAAGCGGATGGGCCAATCACAGCGCATAAACCAGAAAAGATATTAGAAAAGGTTTCGATCGATTTAATGGGCCCATTGCCGAAGGGCAGAGGAGGAACACAGTATATATTGGCGATATTAGACATTTTTACGAAATACATAAAACTCTACGCGATAAAAAAAGCGACTACAAAAACAATCTTAAACAAAATAGAAAATGACTATTTTATTAAGGTAGGCAAACCAGAGGCTGTTCAAACTGACAATGGAACACAATTTACAGCCAAATTGTGGGGGGACACATTGAGGAAGCATGGCGTAAAAATAACCTATTCAACCAAGTACCATCCACAATCGAACCCGGTTGAACGGTATAATAGGGAAATTGGTAGGTTGTTGAGAACGTATTGCAACAATCAACATACAAAATGGCCCGTATACATTGAACAAATTGAATTTTGGATGAACAGAGTGAGGTCAGAGGTGACTGAACTAACACCTGAACAGCTAATGACTGGACAAAGAACGAAACAAAATATTGAACAGATCATAAATTATCCAAAACAAACAGGCCAATTACAGAAACAAGAGTTAGTGAAATGGGCAAAAGAAAAAATTTCAAACAAAGCACGGAAAAGAGAAGGAAAAGACAAGAAAAGGAAAATAATAGAGTATAAGGAAGGACAACTGATCCTAGTTAGAAATCATCAATTATCAAACGCGGGCAATAGTGAAATAAAAAAATTATTTAGCATATTTGAAGGTCCATTTATTATAACTAAAATAATTAGTGAAAATACATTGGCAATTACGCAAGGACAATCAAAAAAAGAAACACTAATAAATGTTGCAGAAGTACGCCCATACTTTGAGGCGGACAACCAATCAAAGTAATTATTATACGACAGCAAATAACATGATCCAATCGGAGCCCCATAAACGATTAACGTATCAGA